AGAAAACTTGGAATGGAACCATCATTTGAGCCAGCTATCCCATTCCTCGGTCTATACCCAAAGGACTTAAAATCAGCATAGCATAGTAATGCAGCCATATCAATGTTCATAGCAGCTCTGTTCATTGTGGAACCAACCTAGATGCTCTTCAGTAGATGAATGGATAAAGAAACTGGTATATATACACAATGGAATATTACTCAGCATTAAAAGATAATAAAATTATGGCATTTGCAGGTAAATGGATGGAGTTGGAGAATATCATGCTAAGTGAAGGAAGCCAATCCCCAAACACCAAAGGCCGAATGTTCTCTCTGATAAGTGGATGCTGATCCTTAAGGGGGCGTGGGGAGGCATGGTAAAATGGAGCAACTTTGATTGGGCAAGGAGAGGGAGGGTTGGGGAGGGTGCATGGGAGCAGGAAAGATGGTGGAATGAGATGGTCATCATTACCCTAGGTACATGTATGACTGCACAGATGGTGCAATGCTACATCATGTACAACCATAGAAATGAAAAGTTGTGCTGCAATTGTGTACAATGAATCAAAATGCATTCTACTGTAATATATATACCTAATTAAAGTAAATAAATTAATTAAAAAAGAAGAATACTATGTTAAATACTTTTTTAAAATTTTTGAATGGAAAAGGTATAGTTGAGGTCTTTCAATGCCCTCCCTACAAGCTAATGTAGTTAAAAAGTTGGTGTACCGGGCTACAAGTGTAGCTCAGTTATAGAATATGTGCCTCATGTTTATGAGGTCCTGGCTTAAAAAATTTTTGGTTATATCTTCTCTATTCATGTCTCTGTGTTTTATTATGCACATATTTATCCATAAGTCTTTTGCTTTCCTCTCTTTTTCTACGTCCTATTTTATCATTAATATATTCTGTGCTGTATTCCCTCCCTATTCCCCTGCTCTTTTGAAGGCTTTAGATTCTGTTGGTGAACTTCAATTGTGAGAATTACATTCTGTTAGATATTGGGGCCAGTTAGCAGCAGGAACAGTCTTTAGCAAAGTACAAGTAAACAGTACAATTTAYCTGGAAAGGCCTCTGCTGGGCCTAGGATAAATCTGGACCTCTGCTGATACCCAGTGAATCAGTAATGGCTGGTGGAGTGTCTGAGGGAAGACTGAGCAGCAGTGAGCAAGAATACAGCTGTAAGCACTGAGATTAAGAATAGGATGAACTGACTGGAAAGAAGGGTGGAGTTGTAGACCCAGGGAAGCTGGGATAAGTGATGAGATAGGTCACAATTTTTTTAAAATTTTACTGCAATAAACCAAACATTTAATTTAATTCAGAATAAGAGATAAGGAATAACTCTTCAATAAAATATATAAAATTGTACAATGTACCCTTTCAAAGGGATTAAAGTGTACTGGGGGAAGGGAGATGGACATCAAGGTGAAACACCACCTGCATATCTATACCGCCTGTTTGACAACATCATTTTTAGGAAGTTAAAGGATGGCTTTACCCTCTGCCCCCAAAATGTTAAAAAGTGTGGAAACTTTTACTAATAAGTTTAGCACATACAATAGGTACACACACAGGGAAAGCATGATTTTTTTTCCTTCCTGGTTCTACTAATTATTCAAGAATATTTCACATGTAGGTAAGATATTTGTTTTTTTTAAGCAGAAAATTACTACACTTTCTTACCCCCCCCCAAAAAAAAATCATCTTTGCACTGTGTGAGTTGATGTACCTAKTATTTCATAGTAATCATCAATGCCTTCTGTACTCTTTAATTTTTTGCTCTCTGATGACCCGAAATGGAGTTAAATAGCACAGCACTGAGAGAAGTTAGGAAGTATTTATTTCTGTTTTCTACCTTGCCCTGGGGTGGTTTCAGGATTACTCTCACCACCTTTTTTTCAAGCTTATGAAAAATAAATGATAAAGCCAACAATATGGAGAAGGAGGAAAATAGAGTCAAATATGGTAGCATCTCACAAGCTTTTTCTTATGCATATGAAATGCAAATGTGTTATAATACCTCATTTATTTGCCAGAAGCTTTCCATTATCTACTTCCTGTGTGCATCCTAATTCTAGTATTTGATTTCCATAAGCAGAAGTCAACTCAGCCTATCAAGACCACCAAATTCGCACCAATTTGCAAATAACCTGTCTCCCGCTTTAAGAAAACACAACAAATGGATTTACAGTCTCTTTAAGGTGACATATGTTTATAAATTTTGCATGTTCATAAATTTTGCCTTTCAAAATAATTTGAATTTTTACATTTACTGTATAAAGATCTTATATTTTATCATATATATGTGTATATATATATATAT